CGGAGTTACTAGATGTAATAACCGTTTACCACCTTCTGTATCAAACAGTTCATGGTATTTTACATAAATAATTACCATTGACTCAAATGCAATGCATTGGAGAACAGTTTTATGGTTCTATACATGTAACGTATCTATTTTCTTTTAAAGTTTAGCAAGACAAAAACCAGGCCTTTTGCAGAAAGAGATACACGTGAGACCCGTGTAAGAATTTACATGTCTGGGGTTCTGAAAGTTGTCTTCTAGATGCAAGCGGTCAGTTATCTGGTCTTTGTTTGGTGGTTACCATGCCAACAGATCTCAAATTCGTCGTTATAACGAAACAACCACTACAAATAATTATACCAACGTGTCACGTTTTCCTCGTATATTCCAAGTCTCCAAAATAGTCACTGCCGAGTGCTCATTAAGGTGCCTATAATAACCTACAATGTGATATATAGATTGACATAAGTGTATTTCTAATTACATGCTTTAGCCATAATAACAACTTTTGTCGTATTTACCTGGCATTATATACCCATCACCAACTACAGTATGGTACGTGTGTATTGGTAAGTCTCATATATCATTATACCCAGACATTCGATTGAATTCGAAGACAATATTTAAAACATCGCTAGGAATGAATGTCTGATAATTATATTTTTTTAACTTGGGTAATTATTGTGGATCACTGCAATGCATTGAGTCTGAACCGTACCCGGACTGTCGAATTGAAGCAATGTTTCAGTCCGAACTTCAAATTCTGCCTGTATATTGAACATGCTACAAGCAAGGTAGACAGATTGAACTGTCATCAATAAAAAAAATAGGAGAGAATATCTGTGTGGTACATATATAACTAATTTACTGTGTGACAAAAGTGTGAACGAGTCGTAGAAGATCTTCGCAGAGACTGTATCAATTAATAAACCAATTAAGCTAGGTAAGAGTACAAGCTACCGGGAGCTAGAAAACGAGAAGGAAAAAAGTATCTTCACTGTAACGACAACCACAAATAGAATGAACACAAAGAAAAGCCAGAAACCAAGCTCTGAAACTTATCAGGGCATGAAAACACAACCATGGAAAGAATCAGGTCCTACGCATCAAAACTTAAGGTAAGACATTCTAGAAAATCATTTTCGTCGAAACCAAGACAAAATGTACTATTAGTGACATAAAAGACGCTGACGTTGATTCGACATCAAATGAAACCAGTGATTATTATGTCGGACTTTAAAATGAAATTATTAAAACATATTAAACTATCATAAAAATGTTGTTGTAGACGTCCCTAATGAACATCTATCCATCCTCAAGAAAAGATACAATTATTTTGGTTAAAAAAGAAAAATGAGGGATCCAGGGGAGACTTCTCAAGTTGATAGAAAGCTTTCTGCGAAGTATTAAAGGGAAGGATCGAAATTTCCAATTCCGAAGATGTAATCAATAATAGTCCACAGGGAAGTGTTTTAGTATCGTCATTGTTATATTTGTCAACGGGGCTGTACTGGTCCACATGGAAGTGTTTTAGGGCCGTTATTGTTTTATTTGTCAACGGGGCTGTACTGGTCCACAGGGAAGTGTTTTAGTATCGCCATTGCTATATTTGTCAACGGGGCTGTACTGGTCCACCTGGAAGTGTTTTAGGGCCGTTATTGTTTTATTTGTCAACGGGGCTGTACTGGTCCACATGGAGGTGTTTTAGTATCGTTATTGTTTTATTTGTGTACGGGACTGTACTGTTTCACAGAGAAGTGTTTTAGTATCATCATTGTTTGAATTGTCTACGGGACTGTACTGTTTCACAGAGAAGTGTTTTAGTATCGTCATTGTTATATTTGTCCACGGGACTGTACTGGTCCACAGGGAAGTGTTTTAGTATCGTTATTGTTTTATTTGTCTACGGTACTGTACTGTTTCACAGAGAAATGTTTTAGTATCATCATTGTTTTAATTGTCTACGGGACTGTACTGGTCCGAAGGGAAGTATTTTAGTATCGTTATTGTTATATTTGTCTACGGGGGTGTACTGTTTCACAGAGAAGTGTTTTAGTATCATCATTGTTTGAATTGTCTACGGGACTGTCCTGTTTCACAGAGAAGTGTTTTAGTATCGTCATTGTTTGAATTGTTTACGGGACTGTACTGTTTCACAGAGAACTGTTTTAGTATCGTTATTGTTTTATTTGTCTACGGGGCTGTACTGTTTCACAGAGAAGTGTTTTAGTATCGTCATTGTTTGAATTGTGTACGGGACTGTACTGTTTCACAGAGAAGTGTTTTAGTATCGTTATTGTTTTATTTGTCCACGGGGCTGTACTGGTCAACAGGGAAGTGTTTTAGTATCATCATTGTTTTAATTGTCCACGGGACTGTACTGGTCCACAGGGAAGTGTTTTAGTATTGTTATTGTTTTAATTGTCCACGGGACTGTACTGGTCCACAGAGAAGTGTTTTAGTATCGTTATTGTTTTATTTGTCCACGGGACTGTACTGTTTCACAGAGAAGCGTTTTAGTATCGTTATTGTTATATTTGTCTACGGGGTTGTACTGTTTCACAGAGAAATGTTTTAGTATCGTCATTGTTATATTTGTCCCCGGGGCTGTACTGGTCCACAGAGAAGTGTTTTAGTATCGTTATTGTTATATTTGTCTACGGGGTTGTACTGTTTCACAGAGAAATGTTTTAGTATCGTCATTGTTATATTTGGCCACGGGGCTGTACTGGTCAACAGGGAAGAGTTTTAGTATCATCATTGTTATATTTGTCTACGGGGCTGTACTGTTTCACAGAGAAGTGTTTTAGTATCATCATTGTTATATTTGTCTACGGGTCTGTACTGTATCACAGAGAAATGTTTTAGTATCGTCATTGTTATATTTGTCCACGGGACTGTACTGGTCCACAGGGAAGTGTTCTAGTATCATCATTGTTTTATTTGTCCACGGGGCTGTACTGGTCCACAGGGAAGTATTTTATTATCGTTTTTGTTTTATTTGTCCACGGGGCTGTATTGGTCCACAGGGAAGTGTTTTAGGATCGTTATTGCTTAATTAATCATCGGGGCTGTACTGATCCACAGGGAACTCTTGAACCGTTTTTGTTTTATTTGTCCACGGGACTGTACTGGTCTACAGGGAAGTGTGTTACAGAACCGTTATTGTTTTATTTGTCCACGGCGGTGTACTGGTCCAAATGGAAGTGTTTTAGGACCTTATTGTTTTATTTGTCCACGGCGGTGTACTGGTCCACATGGAACTCTAGGACCGTAATTGTTTTATATGTCAATGAAAATGTACAATCAAAATAATATCCACATGTTTTTTGACTAGACAATGAAAATGAATATTGGATTGAATGAGAAATTATGCAAAAACGTTAGTGGATGGGTATAGAAAAATACATTGGGAGTAATATTTGAACACGAATTGAACTGAAGAATTTTAGTGAGCATGCGAACCAGTTAGTTTCCAAAGCAAAAAGAGCTTCAGGATTTATATATCAAACCTTTACACAAAAACACGTTCGACCAGTTGAAGCGGAGTGTAAGCAATAGAGGCAGGGCCGTTGACGTCTGCAATTGTCTCCCTAACGTAGCTGTACAGGCTCCTGTTTTACATCACGTCTTAACAATCGCTAATGTAATCACCAAATAACTGTTACTCAAAGCCAGATAAAGTAGTAGATCATTTGTCAAGATGCTTCTCCAGCAACTTGACCAACAATTGAGTAGACTCTACATGGAATCTACCAGCAAAAACCCAACAACGCATTCTACGTCTAACATCCGTGAACAAAAGTTCAACTGGAAATATCGGGTAAACATGACGAGGCTTATTACAATTAATAGTGTACACGTAGTTCTGTATTTTGTGTAGAACCAGATATCCTCGATAAAACCGATGATGAAGCACAACACATTTTATAAATATATAGAGCATCATTTAATCAAAGGGAAAGTATAATTCTAACAATGTAAAGACAGACATACAACGGTGCTACCACGAATAGTTAAATTGATAACCCGTTCATTTATAAAACAATAAATTCCAGTCTTTCGAATTAGAATACAGTAAATACTCATAGATGCACACCTAATGAGCACCCACTGTAAAATGGAAACTTTTGCGAGAGGAAATGTTCGCGTTGTGACTTTTAAACCGATCGCCATATGGAAATAAGTGGATAGTCTATAAATAAATATTCGTGTGTTGATATTTTCGGACTAATTTACTCGACAGGAAAAATGTGAACATTTCCACATCGCAAAAATGTCCAATTTGACAGTTTAATTGATTTGACTTTCAATCTACGGTACCACAAATCTAGATTTAAAAGACTTAACAACTGTTTGTCTCTCATAACAGTTTGGAACAATGAGCTCATACGCACAACAATATCCATATCTACTCAAGTACAAAAATACATTATTTCAGATGTACAACACAGGTATCTATTGAGACGTACAACAAAAGACGATGTTATCATTAAATAACACCGTGCTCACCTTCAGCAAATCGCGCACTTTTGCCAACTTTGCGAAGACTTATCAAACAGTGCTGCTAACATGACAATATATACAGCATATAATAATGCACGGTTTATTTTTACTCCTCCACTTCATAATATTTCAATATATTTTGTAACAAAGCATGATAAAAGGAAATAATGCAGATTTTATCAACGATACATTTGATATACGGTTACAATAACATTATAAAAAAGACAAATATGTAACTGGCAAGGAATGACTAAGTTACACAAAAAGATAGAAAAAATATCAATTTTTGCATAACCATTCACACATTACATAATTATCAGTCATAACAATTATAGAGTGTCTGTCGGATGGTGCAGTGGATAGCGCACTTGCCTTTCACCAAGGCGACCGGGGTTCGATTCCCCGATCGGACGTGAAAAGGTATGCGGTCACCTGCCCGACTACGGTGGTTTTATCCGGGTACTCCTGTTTCCTCCCACAATAAGACCCCCGCGCGCTAACATCCGGGCCAACAAGAGTTATTAATATAAGTTGAAATAACTAGTTTCATAATTGTTGTAAAATAAAAAAAAGTTTATATTAAAGTGTGTCGGCTGTTAAAACACTCATCATTTGTGGAGCATTTGATTCGCTGAAAATACGCTATGTCTTCATTGACAATAGTGATAATCGGTGAAATCATAAATGATAAATTAAAATGCCACATTTTGACTTAACAATCTCATTAAAATTAGAATTGCAATTCCACTTTTCTATGATACAATACAAGAGTATTGGAGTGTATCGTGGAGGAGCAGAATCACAAGTCTAGTTTCGAATAGATTGGTTGACTAAACAAACGTGCATTTTATTACAATTCAATCCACGTGTATGAGATCACGTGCATGTGTACATTAAATCTATTTATAATTCTAAAAGCACTCACTGGTATAATATCAATGTATATTAAGATGAATGTCAAATATTGACAATAACAATACATATCAGCGTACGTAAAGCCACATGTGGACAATAAACTAGTACTTACAATGCATTGAGGAGGCAAATGTTGTTGCGAGACTAAAGCACCATTTGCTATTGTAACATCATCAGTTTCATTGTTGTCAAGACTTAATTTGCTGTTCAAAGAACTGTTCGATATAACTAAATAAAGCGTAACTACTCTATCAAAATGTAAATATAAATAATGACTATTTTAACAAAAAATGCTATATATTTACATTTATGTTGCAGTCCCTCTAGATAACACTACCACTTCAAAATGTTGTTATCATTCAATAAAAGCAAGTGTGTATTAATATATTAACAGTACTACATGTACCGTTATATGACCTCTGACCTCACTATGTAAGCAGTCACCACCCCTCGTTGCCTGACGACCGACCGTTGTTTATCGGTCAGCTACCTTCGCGAACACAGAATAAATTTCCGACTTTTTGTAACTAAATATGTTACAGAGTATCTTGTTTCAAATTGAGATCACATATCAATTTTAAAGATAAGCAATGCATATTAAACAAGCTGGTATGTAAATTAAATTATTAAAAATATGCAAAGTGGATCTATTTGTTTATTGCTCAACTGTGTATTTTGTCACCATTGACTAAGCATCATCTTTCTCGCGAAAAAAGCTGTTCAATTAATGTTGTTTTCAGGACGGTGTATTGCTTTTTGACGTAAAAAAAATATTTATTCTTAATTTCAAATAATAAAATTAGTGTAATCGAACGTAAATATACGGTTTGAAGTGCACCTTTTTAATATTTATGAGGGGATGCATCACAGTTCCGTTCAAACATACTCCATGATGCGCGTTACCTTAAGTAAAATTAATATAACGCACATTTCTATTGCTGACAAACTTACATAAAATACTGTTGGGCTTTATTAAGTTGGTCATCAATAACAATGTGTGTTATAGGACCAAAACAACATTTGCTAAAATATTCATTTCTTAAGTGTACCCAATATAATGTTTGTATCACATCACCACCGACCACACCCCAATCCAATACAAACACGTCTGGGGTACTGGCAAGAACGATTCTAAAAATATCCTCGGAAGACTTGATGTATAGTTATACAATGTAAATGTAACTACAAGTATTTGTATATAGAGTACTATAAATATCATTATTACAAATCAAATATCATTTAAAAGATTAAAATATTTACAGAATATCTAAAGTGATATTTTGGACATCATATTAAGTTATTCAAAGTAAGTGTGTACTCCAATACTTCGCAAATTTAATAGCGAATTTCCAGCAAGACCTGAGTTGTACGTAGTTACTTGTATACACAGTATGTTATAAGGAGAGTGCAGGACACATTTTTACACCCGTCCAATGGAATTCTATCTCAAACACTCAAACGATTTTATTATTAACAACTCAAGTACGCATAGCATACCTACACAATGTCATATTTATTATATAAAAAGAGAAGCAAACGAAAAGCATGCTCTAAATTCGCATTTAAGTATCAATCGTAAGTTAGGTGGGCAAGTATTGTAAGTATTTATCATCAAAAATATTTATCATTCTTTAAAGTCTTGGTATCGGACAGGGAAAAGAGAAGAATCTCTAACCAGAAAAAAAAAAAAAATCTGATCTTCATATTCCGCTAATTAATCCCTGTCCATATAACAGTTTAAACACAGCACTGTAGTCCGGTTTGTTTCTTACAAACATTAAATGATTGGAAATCACAAAATTATTTGTCTGAAGGGAAAGTAACTCTAGCATAAAAACACACAACAACAACATCACTTACACTGTACTACAACACAACCGAATATCAAATTCATTATTAAAAACCTTCACAGCACCACTTATTTGAGTTTCTCAAAAACAATTTGAAGTGTTAAAATCGAAAGTATATTTGGTGGTGACGTTGTCAGGAACTCAGAACGACAAACACCAGACAGAGAGCTGTTGTTATCACTGTGGAAACCAGGTTCTGGAGGGAGACTATAAGAATAGAAACGGAAATGGTATTAAAACAGGAATAAAATCATTTCGTGACGTTAATTTTCCATAATATCATCGCTAATGAACGGATTGAATACATTTTCAGTCCGATAAAAAATGTCTCCGACATTTTCTGCATTTCAGTCGTCGGTAATTTTTAAGTAATCGGTAAGTGTTCTGAAGATTTGTTTACAAACACAAAGTAATATCAAGTTTTATGTAAATAACTTACCGGAAGCTTTTGAACTATGATATCTGTAACAACTCATTTCGTCACTTCCGTCATGGCAGTGCACCTTCCGGTCACACACAAATGTTTTGTTCACACATTGAATGGCGCTGCGACACAGAAACATCCGATGTTCGTCTGCGCACATATCCATGGAAAAGTCGGGAGGAATAGCTATACAGGAAAGTACGAAAAGTCCTCAATTATACATAGGCTAAAAGTGAGAGGCGCACACGTTATACATATACATGTATGTAGCAAGAGTAGCACACAATGTATATAAATAGAGAGAGAGAGAGAGAAAGAAAGAGAGAGAAGGGGTGGTTGATAGATTATCAATAGAAAGAGGTTCAAAGTTATATAAAGAGGCTTACAAATCCACTATAGAAAAGGCTCCCAAATTCTACATAGAAAGAGGTCAACAAACCATATATAGAAAACGGATCATAAATGATATATATATAGAAAGAAAGGGGCTAAAAATAGTTTACTCTGTGATGTGCATTCAGGAGAAATATTCCAGAACGTGACCAGAAACGGGGCCCATAAGTGAACAACCATATCAGAGTGAACATCACAATACTCGTATCGTTTATAACCAAAATGTTCAAGGTCGGGTTGATCGGATGACAGAAAGGATAGCGCACTCGCCTTTCACCTAGAAGGCCACGGTTCGATTCCCGGTCGAGCGTGACAAAGTATAGCATCAACTTTCCTAACACATAGGTTTCCTCTGGGTTTTTCAATTTCGTCCCACATTGAAATTCCCTTACGTGACCATCCGGGCCAAGAAGAGTGATTAATCGTTATTGTATTACTATAAAGAAAGTTTCTATTGTAACTCCATAATATTATATGGTCAGAAACGTTCATCTAACCCAATATACAAACACATAAATATAGCCCTCGCTACATTCTATATATGGTCAGAAACGTTCATCTTACCCGATATACAAACACATAAATATAGCCCTCGCTACATTCTGTATATGGTCAGAAACGTTCATCTTACCCGATATACAAACACATAAATATAGCCCTC